GATGAGAGGATGGGCCAGGTAAGCACCTCTGACACTTCCTCCTAGACTCTGGGGTGCCCTATTCCCAGCCCCCTCAGCCCACACCTTCCCAGCTCTGAGACACCATGTGGAGAAACATAGCCTCTCTGAGACTAATACTCACTGACATCAAAGGCATACAGCACATTGCAGGCCCCTTCCGTGTCATTCCGCCCGCCCCAAAGGAAGACCGTGTCATCGATGAGGACAGTCGAGTGTCCATACCGCATGTAGGGCACCACAGGAACCTGCCCGCGGATGGCGGGTCTCACCGGGGGCAGCTTTGTCCAACGCAAGGACACTGTTGGCACAACTTGGCTCAGCCCTGGGAACCTCCCTCCAGGCTGTCCGCCTTTTCCCAAACCAGATAGTCGTTCCCTCATCCCCTTTGGCCATGAGGACCACCACCAAAACTCATTCAGCCACCTGTTCCCCTCCCTGACATGGGCACCCAGTATGGTCCCAGCATTAGCTTACCTGCATTGAAAATGTGCACATCAATCTGACGCAGTGTTTCATAGTCTTCACCAGAGCAGTAACCCCCGAAGGAGTATACCCGGTGCCCAACAGCCACTGCAGCATGGTTCACCCTGCGGGGCCCGCCCTCCAGGTGCACTGTCCACCGGAACATCCCCTGGGCCACTGGTTACAGCAACATGCCCCCCCGGCACGGCCTGCTGCCTCTGCTACCTGCACACAAGTTACGGCCAAAGGCTACTCAGGCAAGGCCTGATTCACCGGACTGCCCAGGACCAGCCCTTGCCTCTAAGTGTCACCCTGGTGGCCCTCCCACACCACCCCTCCGCAGCTCAGGTGGCTGGCCCTGCCCTAGGGGAGCTGCCAAGGTCAGGGAGCTAGCCCTGGCTCTGTGTTCTTCAATAGCAAAGGGTGGGGCCATTCCGACCTGCTTGCCAGCTTAAAATCTGCTGATCAAGGGCTCAGCATAGTCGCCCCTTCTCATGGGGACTCCACCCTGGCCTGGCACAAGCGCTAAGCCTCCTTCGCAGGCTGGTGCGTTCCCTTGTATCGCCGGCTCTGCCCTGCTTACTGCCACCTCTCTAAGAATCTCTGTGCTCTTCAAGGTGGGGAGAGGGATCTCAAAATACTCAGAGCTATTAATAGCCCAGTCAGCCCCAGACGGTCCATTGAAAGCTGGCATGAGGGCTTTCAAGCAGAAAAGCTTTTAGGCTTTTAAAGTAGATAGTCCCCCTATCCAAGACAGGGTGGGATTGATCCAGGACAGCGACTTCCATGTTACCATGGATGATTAGCCCCTCATAGGGAGCTGTCAAGCTGAGCTGTTGTCATTAGGATCAGCCAGGGCCCCTCACAGCCATGAGGAGTTCCTTTAACAGCTGTGCCTGGTATGCTGCCAAGGCTAGGAACTTAAACCAGTCTGCTGGGGACTGAGGGGGTGGCGATAGGGGTTTTCTCCTACCACTTCCCCAACCCTGCTATTGTTGGTAGAAAACCACAGCTCTTCTCCCACTTGGGTCCCTGAAAGGGGGATAGGGGTGGGAGTGTGCATTGGAAAGAGGAAGGGAAGCAAAAATGCCCTGGGGCAGGACAAGAAACAGACCCAGGCATGAGAGGTCATGATCTCTTAAAGACAACCTGCCAACCTAGTGATAACCGGTACATCTGAAAGCTCTGTGAAGCAAAACCTCCTGCAATTGGCACTGCCTTCGCTGGCAGGCACGGGCTGGATTTGGGTGGATCATCTGCTCCCTGTTCAAGGCAGAACTTCAGGCACAGAGAAAGCTCAAGTAAGGGAGGCCCTTGCATGAAAGAGAGATGGCTTTCAGCTGGCTTGCCACCCCCCACCCAACCTCCCTTAACCCCCACCCCAGGCTTTAATAATAGCCACTCTGCCAAACCTGAAACAGCCCCATCAGGAAACCACTCTCACTTCATTACTCCAGTCCTCAATCCAAAAAATCTTGGCTCTGAGCTTGTGGGGACAGATAGGGAGGTTGAAGGACTTAAGAATGTGGGGTCCTAGGCGTAAAAAGTATAACTATTGCACTGTGTTGTACAGCTGAAACTAATTCTAAATAATGTGTATTTCATAATAAAAAATAATTAAAAGAAAAAAACAAAAAACAAAAACAAAGAACAAACAAAAAAAAGAATGGGGGTCCTTTGTCTTCCCTCATAGCTTCTACTCCCCCTTCAGCTACCTCAAGGTAAAGAATTCATAGAGGAAGAGAGAAGCAATCCCATGCAAAGGCAGAGCTGCTCCTCCACAAGGACAACTCGAGCTCACGGAAAATAAGCCCCCGAAGTATCAGGGGTTCTGCTATCTTGGAGCCTCCCCCATACTTCAGCATTGCTGCATTCTCAACTTCTTCAATCCCCTTCATGTGCTTACCCCCCTCTTCCCCTTATCTCTTGCAATTTTCACTCCCCATTTCTGGCCCTTTTTGATCTGAGAGCTTTGCAGATTTCTCCTTTTCCCACTTCCCACCACTTCAAGCTCCACCTGACAGTTCTCCATTTTCCCTTTTCCACTAAGGAAAAGAAAGCTAATAGTCATTGACCCCTTTCGCCCAAAGATATTCCTCCTTGTATATGACACTATTTCTGGATTCTTCCAGTGATTCCCAACCTCCCCTCCCCCACGGCGCCAGACAGCCCCCCCGCCCCCTTCCATTATTCTCAGCTTCCCTGTTTTCCTCATAACTCAAGTCTTCCTTCCAATTCCCTCAGTGCCTCCTCCAGCCACCAGGTCTCACCCGACTCCTCACACCATCCTCCCCCAGCCCTTCCTTCTCCATTAACATTCTCCTTTCCCATCATCCTTCGTTCCCTCCCCACCCCCACCTCATCACGCTCAGGCCCCTCCCCCACGACTCTAGCTCAAAGCAAGGGCGTACCCAGCCTCTCCAATTTTTCTAGTCCCTCAACCCATCCTCGGGCTACCTTGCCAGGCCGAGCCGGGGCGGGGCCGCAGGTCCTCGAGCTGCCTGCAGCCTAGAACCCAGTTGCGCGCCAACCGACGACTGGGTCCCCAACGAGATAAATACATCCAGGATCGGTTCTTCCGGCGGGCAGCTGTGTGCGCATGTGCAGTCAGAGCTAAGTGCCGGAAAACTACCGAGACTTGTAGTCCAGCGGTTTCGGGAGGGACGCGAGTGGCCAAGAAGTGAGCAGGATCCCGAAGGAGATTCTACGCATGTGCATGTGTCCAAAGCTGTGCGAGTGTGCGTGTGTGCGCGCGCGTGTGGGTGGGTGAGTAGCGGTTATTGGGTACTGTAGTCTCTTGCTGTCTGGGCAAGATGATGGAGGCGGGGCGAGGGGCGGACTCCTTGTCCTCGCTTGCGTCAATTATGAGCACGGGGAGGGGCTGGAGATCAGGCACCCCAGCACGTCCTGCGCCGCCGGAAGTGAAGGTGCTGGTTCGGTCGCGGGCTCTGAGCGGGTGAGGCGCGCGGGGACACCGGCGCCGACAGTCGGTGGGGGCGGGTAGGGGACGCCGCGGCTGGGGCCATTAGAGGGGAGCCCCCAGGACCTGAAGGGCGTTTGTCAGGTGGTACAAAGGGAAACCCCATGGAGACAGGAGAAGGGAACGGATGCGCCCTGTGTAGGGGAGCTTGTTTGGCGACCCCGAGTTCCCAAGTCGGTGCGGGAGAAGGGAGGGCGGGGTTCTGAAAGGGGTGTGTTTGGGGAGGTGGTATGGCCTCCGGTTGGGCTGTTATTTAAGAAATGGCCGAGCAAGGCGGGTGGGCCTCGGTTGGAGATGAAGAGCCGTCTTAAAAGGTGGAGGACCCAGGAGAGGCTGGGGTCGGGTGGGATAGAGGAAGGTTGAGGGCGTTTAAATGTTCTGTGGACTCAGAAGATCACAAGGAGGTGGGCGGGAGGCTGAAATACACCTGATCTCATCAGTTCCCTATCCTGCCTTCCTGTTCTTGCAGCCCCTGCCCGGATGGCAGCAGTAGTTCTAGGGGGAGACACCATGGGCCCTGAGCGTATCTTCCCCAATCAGACTGAGGAACTAGGGCCGCACCAGGGTCCTACAGAAGGCACTGGGGATTGGAGCAGTGAGGAGCCTGAGGAAGAACAGGAGGAAACGGGGGCAGGACCAGCTGGCTACTCCTACCAGCCCCTGAACCAAGATCCTGAACCAGAGGAGGTGGAGCTGGCACCAGTAGGAGACGGAGAAGACGTAGTTGCTGATATCCAGGATCGGATCCAGGTATGGTGGAGGAGGCATTGTTCCTGAGCAGGTGAGGCTGGGATCCTTGAAGGGCTGGCCCTGAACTGTCTTCTCTCTGGCTCTGCAGGCCCTGGGGCTTCATTTGCCAGACCCACCATTAGAGAGCGAGGACGAAGATGAGGAGGGAGCTACAGCACTGAGCAACCACAGCTCTATTCCCATGGACCCAGGTAAAAGAGATCAATCAGTTTTCATTCTGGAATAATTATGGAGGAAAGGGACTGGCCAGAGCCAATAGAGAGAAGCCACAGAAGAACACCCGGTTCCTAAAACGACAGTTTGTAATCTTAAGATTTTGCAAACTTCAGAATCCAGCTGAAATGCTCTTCTGCTTGACTTGGGGAATGGGCAGGCTTGCCTAGAAAATAACTGATGGATTTGGTGACCTGGCTGGCCCAATGGCTCTGGGTTAATTAAAGGAATGGGAAGGGGAGCTGGTCCCATTGTTTCTATCTTCTAATTGATCTCTGCCTGTGATTTCAGAACACGTAGAGCTGGTGAAAAGAACAATGGCTGGAGTAAGCCTGCCTGCTCCAGGGGTTCCTGCCTGGGCTCAGGAGATCTCAGATGCCCAGTGGGAAGACGTGGTACAGAAGGCCCTTCAAGCCCGGCAGTCATCCCCTGCCTGGAAGTGACCACCTTGAGGGCTGCATTCCTTATCTCCCTGCATTCCAGACCGAAACCAGCACAGGACTGAACACATCCCTGGTTGTAATGTCCAGCTTTACCCTCCCCATCTCCCTTTCCACATCAAGGCAAATCAGACTTCTCAGAGACCCACTTTATTCAGTTCTGTACATATGGGGACATCGGCCCAAGCCCAACCCACCTTAGCATGTATCACTCTGGAGAATAAAGCACCCTATGTACACAGCCAAAAGCTGCACTGCCTGTGCCCCTGGGACCCGGGTCTGGCCCTCCTAAGCCCCTTGCCCCTCCATGGTACCTGAAAGGGACAAGTGAGGGCCTGCCCAGCATTAGCACAACCAAGGAAATAAATAGGTGTTGGGGGGAGCCATGCTTGGGGCACTGCTCCCTGCTTCCTTCCTCCTAACTTTGGGAACCACCAGCACAGGAAAGCAGTCAGCCCCAGGTGGTCCCTTCCATGTCTGTGATCCCAGGGCTGCTTACCAACGAAGGGGCACAGGGTAGGGTGTTTGCTCATCCCCTCTCTTGGTCCATCTGGGCCCTTTATTCATCACCTATTGTCCATAGCCTATGTGTTTCTCCGTTTGACCTCCCATGTGGTCTTGGTCAGGCAGGGGGTAAGAAGAAATAATACAGCCCCCTCAGCCTGCGCACTGCTGGGGTTGGGGGGCCTCTTTGTGCTGTTGGGGATTGGCACCCCTCCAGCTACTGACTCCAGGGGCCAATGGGGCTTGACATAACTTTGGTGAGAAGAATCTCCTGCTGCTCCCTGTATGCCTCTGCAGGGGAGGGAGAGGAGACCCCTGGAGTTCCAATGAGGGTGAATGGAAGAGGAGAGGAGCATATGTATTCCTGTGTGTATTTCTGAGCAGCCTCAGGTAGCTGTGGGGTTAGGAGCAGGAGGGGGACAGGCCTCCCCAGTTGTCTGAGCACTGAGCGTCTCGGTGCTCAGCTCGTCTGTACTAGCCACAGGGAGGCATGAACACATTTGGGGGAGAAGAGGGACCACTCTGTGGGTGTCCCTGCTTCAAGTGCCGCATCACCCTCCCTAGAGTAGCTAGAGAGGTACTGCCTTGCCCCATGTCAGCCAGTGGGGAGCAGAGGGTGGAGGGCTAGGGCGGCGTCCCAGGGCTGAGTGGGCTGTGGCCCTATGGAGGGAAGGCGAGGGCGTCAGAGAGCCTCCTGGCTGGCAGTTAAGAACTCTTCCGCCCGCTTGTGCGCCTCCAGTGCCTTAATGGTGTACACATCCTGGGGCAGCTCTGACTTCCTCCGAAGCAGCACTTTCTCCTTCTTGATGTCCTTTAGCATCTGTGTGTGGATACGGAGAAGGCGAGGAATGGTGACCAATTCCCAATATATTCTATTGTGTCCTCCCCTTATTCCTTGGCTCTGCTGCTCCTGTCTCCTCTCCCTTCCAGAGCTGTCTTTCTTGCCTCTCCCCCCACCCTCTGTGCCCTGCCACCTGCATGGCCTCTGTCTCCACCGTCCTCTTCAGAAGCTGGATGTCCTCTGCTGTGGGGGTCTCCGTCTCCATTGAGTACACAGGAGGCAGTGGCGGTGGGGCTCGGAACATGGGATACTGAGAAGGAGGCGCGGGCAAGTGAGGAGAGCCACTTCAGAAGTCTGTTTGCCTCAAATCCGCCCCCAGACCGAGATTTCGGGCGGGCCCCTCAGTTCAGGGCAATGGCAGAAAAACCTCACCTGGGGATTAAGTCGGGCCAGCTCCTCGATCTTTTGCCACATCTCTTCTCTTTCCTTCATTCGGAACCGGCCCCTGCAGGAGCAGAGACAGGATGAGGGTTGGGCTTGAGAGAGAAGCAAAGGGGGCTAGTGGTGGACAATCAAAGCCCCCCAAGCAGAGACATACTTCTGCTTTTCCGCCTTGTATTGTTGTGTGCAGTCATCAAACAGCTTCTGATTCATCTCCATAAACAGCTTCAGGGCATTGTAGATCAGTCCATGGATTGTCCTGCCACAGGGGAGAGATGAGGTATAGCAGGCAGGAGCCTGCCCTTAGTACTAGGACCCCAATTTGCTCTCTCCTAGCAGGTGTCTGCTAAGAGCTTTCTTAGTTACTACTGTTTCACAAACCGCTGCAGTGTAAGCTCATCTCTCTGGCCGAATCATGTGACTTGAGATTGGCATTTCAAGGTCTTTACAAATATTGGTCTGCTTATCCATCCTCACCCGACCCCATGCTCCAAGACCTACCTTCTTCCCACTACTTCCTATGCTCTGGGCCACACTAATGGGCTCCCAGCAACACGAGGTGCATCTGTGCCACAGGGTACCTGCTTTTAGCAGGAAAGCCTTTTTACAACACTGGGATTTGACACGTACTAAGATCACATGAGCTTCTCACAGCATGGAATGAAGTCTCCAAAGCTGCAGAATATCTGACCACAAGAAACGGTGTAATACAGGCCACTGCTCTGCTGTTTGGTATCACAGGGGATCTCTCACAAAGGTATCTTTTCTTCCTAGTCAGTCCCTCAAGGTTCCTATCAACGCGCAGTGGGCACCAGCCCCGCTTGCTGAGTGACCACGTGAGACCATTGGCTCTTTAGTTCTCCCACACCCTCACAGGTTCCAAAACCAAAGCCTCAATGCCCCGCCCCATGCCAGACCCCTACTTGTTCCAGTGGCTCTTGGAGTTCCTGTAGAGTGCAGGGAACATGATGGGGAGGACCCGGGCAGCATTGTCACTAATCAGGCTCATGATGTACTCATTGTTCCAGTAATAGAGAGCACGTTCTGCCACCTGGTGGGGATAGACGGGACTCAGTGGGGATACAGCTTGCTCTGCTCAAGAAGGTTTCTGGGAGGCAAGGGCTGGGATATGCTGAGTCTGGGTCTCACCTGGAAATGGGGGCTGGAGACACACTTGGCAAGCTGGCGGAAGAGTGGTTCCATCACTTTGCTGAACTCTGAAGGCTCAATGACATCCAGAATCTCCTCTAGCTCATTCAGGAACATCACCTCCTTGGGGCTGTGGGTCTTGGGCCAGAACTTGAGAAGTCCCACAATCACC